ATATATAATATATATATGTATGTGTGTGTGGTGTGTGTGTGTGTGTGTGTTGTGTGTGTGTGTGTGTGTGTGCGTGTGTGTGTATAAGTATATATATATATATATATATATATATATATATATATATATATAGATATACATATACATATATATGTATTTATATATATACATATACATATGTATGTATTCAAATATATACATATACATATATATGTATACATATACACACACACACACACACACACACACACACACACACACACACATATATATATATATATATATATATATATTATATATATATATATATATAATATATATATATTTATTATTATATATATATATGTGTGTGTATGTGTGTGTGTGTGTGTGTGTTGTGTGTGTGTGTGTGTGTGTGGTGTGTGTGTGTGTGTGTGTGTGTGTGTGTGTGTGTGTGTGTGTGTGTTGTATTATATACACACATATATTATTATCTTTATATAGTTTTTTTTATTGTTCTCGTACGTGTCATCAGTAATGTAATTGACTTGATTGTTTTGTTTCATGATTATTTTTAAAGATGATGGTCATTATCAAGAAAACTGTTGTTTTTGCAGCCGTTATTATTAACAGTAGTAGATGTAGTAGTATAATAGCTATTTTTATTGCCATTATTATCATTATCAAAATTATTTTCATCATTATAATTATAACTATTATTATCGCTATCACTATTATCAGTATCATTATTATCATTATCACTATTTTCATCATTATTATCCACATAGATATAATCATCATTATCCAGATCCGATCAGGTCGCTCCCATTGCTATGTGTAAGTGATCCACCTCATCTCCTCCGATCCACCTTATCCACATCTTTCGATCCTCCACCTCTCGCATGCCCTCCACAGCTGATCCGCCTGTTTACATTCTTCCGTCGTTTATCCATTTTCTTTATATTTTCTTGACATCCTGATTTATTTCCTTCTCGTATATGCTACTATGACGTCGGTGAGAGGTATTTCGAGGTAATGCATGAAGAATTTATGATGACAAAGGTGTAAAAGACAAGAAAGGAGAGAAAGAATGGAAGAAAGAAGACAAACGAAGAGATGAACAAGGAAACCGAACGCGTCAACCGAGGATCTTTTGTTTATATTGCGTCTTCTTGGCGTCTCGTGTCCGAATCACTGGCTACTGGTTTCGGTTTCCACTCTTCAGCATTAGCTCGTATTCTAACGTGGTGGTCGAAGGTTCGTATTATAGAGATGATGATGTGATTTTTCTCGTACCTTTTGTTTCCTTTAATAATATTTCAGGTATATCTCAAGAAAAACAACGAAGGGAAGAACAAGAAGGCGCGTGTATCGAAGATTTTTTCGCTCTAGTACTTCTTCGCGTCCGAATAATTGCTACTGGCTTCGGTTTGCACTTTTCAACATTCTTGTTCTCTGCTAGGGTCATTATTTTATATCAGTTTTAATGGCGTGATTATCCCCATACCATTTCTTCCAAATAACATTTCATAAATATCTCATTTAAAAGGCTTAAGAGTTTTTCATCTCTCTTTTCTTGTTTTGATGCCAGGTTTCATATTCGTACATTAGGTGTTGTTGATGATCCTAAATGTATTTTTTTTTTTTTTGTATTTGACGAGAGGTTTCAGCTGTTCCATAGACCCTGTTTAGACGAGGGACTTTAGTGGCGCGACTGCTAGATGTGCAACCGCCAGGTCATTGGAAGTGAATAGGAGCACACACACGTAGTGGCTTGTGGCTAGCCTGTGGCGCGACTCGAGATCTCCCTCACAGTCGCCCGACTGCTCAGCGACTCGAGGTACATGTGTTGATATGCGGCCGCACACACACGGCGGCAGCCACTGCGTTTTCATGGTGTTGGCGCCTCATTGGCTGGAGTGGGTGGCATTTGATTAATGAGAGAGCATCACTTGGAGTGGAGGCAGACAGTAGCATCCGGTTCCCACAGCCAAGAGTGGGGGAGAGGAGTCGGGCCACTGAAAGCGTTGTGTGAACATTCACTCAGTAGTCGCGCTTCTAGCAGAAGGGCCACTAAAATCGCTTGTCTGAAGAGGGCCGTGTTCTCTTTGGCTAGCCGTTATTTCGTACCATGGCAATATTTAGGAAAAGAAAATAACAAAAGTTGGCAACTCACCAGATTCTCGGATACTCATTTTCATTCTCATCAGCTGACAGATAATGCATTTGTTCACATCAATGTTGAAACATTCATATACAATATGTTTCTTACGTTGCACCTTTTATTATGACATATTTTTATTCTATTATATTATTTCAATAGACGGCGAATCGGAATGCTCTGAAGCCATGGGTTGAGTTGCCAGTTTCTATATATTGGTGTCCTAGCTACGTATAGTGTTGCAATGTTGGTTTTTTTATCATGTTGCATTTCAATAGATGAATTCATGGGTTGAGTTGCACTATTCGGAGCACTTGTGTCCTTAGCTACCTCTTCGTATTTTAGTGTTGTAACCGGTTTGTTAATTATAGTTTTCCTCGTGCAATCTCACGTGCACAAACTTCTACCCCAGGTGCATCATTTGCAAATGTCAATATCCAGGCGCACCTAAAAAAATGAAAATATTGCCAGGCTTGGGTTTCTGAAAGTGAACATTCACTCAGTAGTCGCGCTTCTAGCAGAAGGGCCACTAAAATCGTTTGTCTGAAGAGGGCCATGTTCTCCTTTGGCTAGCCGTTATTTCGTTACCATGGCAATAGTTTTAGGAAAAAGAAAATAACAAAAGTTGGCAACTCACCCAGATTCTCGGATACTCATTTTCATTCTCATCAGCTGACAGATAATGCATTTGTTCACATCAATGTTGAACATTCATATACAATATGTTTCTTTCGTTGCACCTTTTTATTATGACATTTTTATTAATCTATTATTATTATTTCAATAGATGGCGAATCGGAATGCTCTGAAGCCATGGGTTGAGTTGCCAGTTTCTATATTCGGAGCACTTGGTGTCCTTAGCTACCTCTTCGTATTTTAGTGTTGTAACGGTTTGTTAACTATAGTTTTCTCGTGCAATCTCACGTGCACAAACTTCTACCCCAGGTGCATGCATTTACAAATGTCAATGTCCAGGCGCACCTAAATTTCCGAAATCAATTGCATTTGTTTGAAAGGTATGGCCGCTGGGAGTTTCCTTAGCGTGACGCAAGTCAGTTTTTCTTGGCGTCTCGTGTCCGAATCACTGGCTACTGGTTTCGGTTTCCACTCTTCAGCATTTGCCCGTATTCTAACGTGGTGGTCGAAGTTTCGTTTAGAGATGATAGTTTTTCAATGGTTGTTCATTGCCGTTCTGTCGTACATGTTGTCTCGGAGGTCTTTAATTTGTTTGTCCATGATATGTTTCCGATCTTTGTTATGCTATGAACCTCGGCGGGTTTTGTGGTTAATTCTCCAGGCTACAAAGTCGTACTCTAAAGCAATACCATGCACTTTTCACGTGAATCTGTGTTCCAATTTCTAGTTCAAGAAAATTTAGAGAATATCATTTGGCATCTTTTATCTACGCGAATATGTTAGAATAACCAAATTAGCATATTAGGTCCTAGAATAAAATACCACTGAAAGTAATTTGATTTTAAAGTTTATTCTTACTGTATCATTCAACACCACATGCACATATACTTATATTATTTACAGTGCAAATTAGGTGTACTCTTCACTTCTTTTCATTCATCTCTCTATGCTGATATCCCAAGAGCCAAATAACCTTTTGTTCGTTGCTGATTTTTTATCTATAATTATTTGTTAACTAGATTTTTTTTCGAATTATCTGAATTTATTATCGTTATTTGGGAAACTGTAAATCTTTTCAACGAAACATGTATATTTTGTTCTCGAAAAAATAATACTAAAAATGAAAAGAGGATGCATCTTTCCCTTAAGTCTGTTTGGAAATAATTAAACAGTTTTATTAATCTACAATGCTTTTAATTTCATTGACCAACCAATGTTCTTGAAATCAGTAAGATTATGATGTAAATATATATGATAAGTCCGGGTTCTTCGTATTAATGGCGCATCTATAATCCATTGGTTGGTTTCTTTTTGAAAAAATGTTGGTTCCCAAACCACTGTTACCATTCTAACGATATTCCCGCTAGATCCAGAAATTTTGAGTGATGTTCTAGTTATAATACTCCGAAAATTTAAACAAGGAGTTTTTACGCTTACGTTTACCCGGGGTTTGTGGAATCATTGCAACACTGTCCCAGACTTTTTCAGGCTGGCTGGATTCCTTGCCCCCTTCATACACACATGCGAACACCTTTTTTTTATATTGGTATGCTTCAAATTGGAACCATGATTAAGTATAAAGATGTACTTCACAAATATGATTATTTATCATACGTTTTAGATGCGTCACCAATATTGAAGAACAAAACAAAATATATCAGTAACCTTGGTAACATTGTTCATTGTCTTCATAGTTATTGTTCATGAGATGGATTTATTTGCTGTATGTTCTGTCATTCAGATTTTGTATAAAACAAAATTTTATACGTTAACTGCTCCTAATGTTATCCTGTCGCCCCCTACAAACTCCTTTAACGATCCCACCCCCTCCCCCTTCCCCAGACTATAAACAAAAAATAGGAAAGCAAGGTAAAAGTCTGCGAGCCCCAACGGTTGGCGAATAGTGTTAAATCTGAACAATAGATGGCGTTGTAAGAAGTTTTGGGCCTCACATTTTTTTAAACGGTGTGATACGTGCTTTCCTATCTTTCATATATAGCCTTTGCCTTTCCCCGATCTTTCAACCAACGCTACGATTAGCATTAGTATCGTTATCATTATTGCTATTGTCATTGCTGTTATTATTGCTTTTAGTACCACATCATTCCAACCGTAATTTCCCATATCCCTCACCTTTAAAGAGTAAATAGAAAATAAAAAATAAGAACAAAAAAAATAATAAATAAACAACACCAAAAAGGGACCAAAACATAGGCCTACTTAC